AATGCTTGGAAACCCCTAACCACCCTCACATTGTGGTAAAAAAGATGTTATATTATAGAGGTGTTGCAGATATACAACTTTGTTTCTCGATGGATGTGTGTATCTATATATCTCTATCTCAACACCGTAGAAAACAGAGTTGTATAGTTCATTGCTCATTTCTGACAGAAATAAGCAGCTAGTAAGTCTTTGAAACTCTTTTTACTCAATTACATGATGGCAGAAATAGTCCTTCCTCTTATAGTAATGGTTTTTGTTGGAGAAGAAAGATTGTCCTATTTTTCAGCCTCAGCTGAGAAGACCTCACTGTCTGATTCTTTTTTGGGGGGCATAAAACAACTTGTGCTGTTACCCAGCTACCCACAACGGCCCTCAAGCCATCCCGCCAGGCGGAAGTTCATAGTGGGAGACTTCACCACGCTTGCAACGCGCAAAATGAGGTAGTACACAAAATGTTTACTGTTCAAGTTTTGATTAAGCCCTGGTCTCCTCWGCGTGCCCAGCCTAGCTTCTGAGTGGAACCGTTCCCTTTATTTACTCGGTGTAATTTAAACAATGCAATCAACATAAAATTATATTAGAGCAATCAGAGTACATTGTGCTTTGCAGTAATCTGAGAAGATAATCAGCAAGGGTTGGGAATAAAGACGGAATATTTTCACGTTGCTACTGCTCATGCTGCCCAAAATCCCTTATTTTGTTTGCAGTGCTATTAGGCAGTCAGCATCTTTCTGATGGGCATGTGTGAAAGACAACAGACTACAGAAAAATTAATCCTACACAATGTTCTCCTTAGTCTATCCTAGGCTTGTATTAATATCACACTCTTCAGATAAATTTAGCAGAATTGTTAGGGGTGGTCACACTTTTAAGTATGCTTGATAGAAAAGTTAAATGAATCATTTCAGTTTAAGAAATGGCAGGCCCCATTTTTCCTAAGGATCTGACAGTTCTCTGTGGCTTTTCTGCTTAGTTAATAGAGATCTTTCATTGTTTGACCTTAAAACCAAACGAGAAACTGTAACAGGAGTTTTCCCCATATTCCTCAAATGAAAGTACTATTTATAAAATAGTTTACATCTTTGTTCAGTTTCAAATTATAGACAAACCTCCCTAATACAAAATACTAAAAGTGCAATAGTATAAATTAAGAGTTTGCAACCACGTTATACAAACATTACCTTTTTATTGTACAACTTTGATAACATGAAATATTTACTCACAACGGTTTATAATGTTGTGAATAATTTATGCTTCTAAGGTTTGTCTGTAACTTGTTTTCCAACCATTGAGCTAAAGTCCACACTACATTTTTTTTTCATTTAACAGAACAACTGTCCACATAGCAGCTACAAATACTTAAATAAAAAAAGGTTTGTTACTGACAGGTACTTGCACATGAAAAGCATGCTATCTTTCCCAATAAAACTTCACATTTTTGCCTGCATTGAAATAAACCACTTAGAGTAAAACAAAACTTGCTTTAAAAAAAAAAAAAGAAAAAAAAAAAGAGAAAAGGAAAAATCACATAGCCAGATGTATTTTGCAGTACAAAAGCTTCATTTAAGTTTGGGGCTAGTATATTGTCTGTTACCCGCATAATCTTAACATTATAAATACTACAGACAAGGATACTGTAATAATACACAGCATTGGGGTACTAAATCACTTATTTAAGATTAAGATTCCTAAAAACATAGTCCAGTTTGCTAACTAATTTGAACAAAACCAGCAAATAAGTGTGATAGAATGCTGTAATGAAGCCCCCCCTTTCTCAGTTGAGAGTTAAGTTTTGTAAGAAGCAAAGTGGACATAGTCTAGCCTCTTTTTGTTTCTAATGAAGTTATCCAATGATTTTTTTTTGTTTGTTTCTGTTAAATTAAAAGGTTTCAAAGTTCTCAGTAACAGTCAAACTCACTGTTGAAAGAAGTACCATGCAGATCTTGCAAGACAACTTTTCAGCAGCCACAAAGTTATGTATTTCTGCTATGGGTAAAACTGTAAAGGGAACCTATGCATTTAGGTCAGGAAACTAATGCTTAGCTTCAACAGCTGTACAGGAAACAGAACAAAAGTTGTGTTGAGTAGTGGTCCAACAGTTATTCGTAATGACTGCTTTTAATTTATGCCAATCTCTTTATTATCCTCGATAAATCTGGTGAATGGACGACTGGTTCCAGTTTCAGAACTTGCTTTGTCCAAACCAACAATGGGCGGGCTGCTGCCAGTGCGAGCTTTGTCCATGCCACTGGTAATGTTACTTAAAGGCGGGATGGCACCTCCGCCTAAACTTACTGGGAGCTGGGGAATGCCTCCGTTCTGTATGACAGAAATCTCATTGTTCTTCATAGCTAGTCCATTAGTGATAGCTGCAGCATATTGGTTCCAAAAATTGGGGTCCACATTCATGGCCCGAGCTGCCAAATCCTTCTGGAACATTTCCGAGAACTTGAGAGCRTCGCCGCCTAGCAAGGCCATGGGGTTTTCCACGGAGAGTCGGCGACCGCGTCTTGCAGGGGCATTATTCCACATATGAGTTCCCATGTGAACCTGCAGAGGAAACAGGGACAAGAAACACCTCCAAATTAACCCCCTCCAGGAAGACTGCTCACCTCAATACCCTGCTACTTACAGCATTGCCTTTTTTTTTTTTTTTTCTCTCCAAAATGTCTTTCAATTCACAGTGAAAAAAATCAACTTCAGTAGTTCTACAGCCCAGTCAACCTATACAGAAAAAGTCTTTGTTCTAGTTTTTCAATTTGCATTTGTATCTTCTCACGGAAAATAAATACAGCACTGCCACAATACAGAGTATGTGTCCTCTTAGCTTAGTAAACTTCATATGAGAACTGCAAGTTCTCATACCCCGCAGACTACCAAGCACATTACTTGTACGAGGAGACGCACATTTCCTTCGTCCTTTCCCTTTTTACAGCTTGTCTGCTTTCTTAATACTTAGTCTCACAGCACAGGCATCAATTTCGCTAAAGATTTAAAGAAAAGCTTCAGGACACTGAAAAATGTATTCCCTTTGCCGTGTCTTGATGGYTATACAGACTTTGGGAATAAGAGGCATCGGTCTTGTAGTAACTCACTATAAATCAGTGCGAAACAGCATTTTAGTGTGCACTGCTTGCAACACAGAGCAGCAAATTGGATTTTGCAAGACTGGCACCCAAAGAGGCAAAAGAGTTCTGTGTTTGCGGTTTATAGCGAGCCTATTCTGCACCTCTGCCCTGCAAGTCCTGCTAGGATTCATCTGTCCACTGGCTGTGTGTAGATCACGTTTGTTAGGCAAGTTTTTGTATGGGTGTGYGCAAAGATCCGTGGAGCCAGTTTTTGAGCACACAACATCGTGCACCTACTTTTCAGCTCTTATCTTTAACAGAGCAGAAGCAAAACAAACACCACCACAGTAAGCAAGTCCAAACTCCCTTCTCTCCTGGATTTGGGGCAAGCAACATTAAAACCTGCAAAGCTCAAACACAGTGCCTTTAAACCTCCCAAGCCTTCACAGTTTCATTTGGCCTCTTACCTTAAGATTCCCCTTTGTGGTAAAAGCTCTACCACAGATTGTGCAACCAAACGGTTTTTCACCAGTATGGGTGCGTTCATGTATCTGCAGTGCACTTGCTGAGGAGAAGGTCTTCCCACACGACTGGCAGTTGTGCTGCTTGGGAGTCCGGCGTGGGGGGGGTGCCAGCATGGGGGTGATTCCTGGACTCATCACTGTCTGTGGTGCAGCAGGAACCTGGATTCCAGCTGGAAGCGAGGGGACCTCACCCAAAGAGATCGGCTTGCTGTGACCATTCACTTCCATTTTGATCATGGTAGGCGCTGTACTGGTGACCAGGCTAGGAGTACTTTGGCTGGGACCTAGAGTAAAGTTGGGTTCAAATAACTGAGAAGGCAGCTCTTTTAATTTGTGCGTCAGTAAGTGCTGTTTTAAATTACCCATAGTGGAACACCCACGATTGCAGACTGTACAAATAAATGGACGTTCTTTAGTATGGCTGCGGTAGTGAATTTCCAATGCACTCTTACAAGCAAAAGGCTTGCCACAGATATTACAAACAGTACTTTTAAACTTACCACGTTCTCTGTTCAGGAACAGCAGGCTAAAAGGAGCCTCCTCTTTGATGACCGGTCTTCCCAGGTTGGTGGATGTCAGATCTAATGCGCCTCCATTTTCAGTTGTGGGTGGTGGACTGTCTGGTTTTTCTGTCTTTAATTGTATTTCTTGCGGTTCTTCCTGGTTGCTAAGACCTGGGGATTTTGATCGGAAACTTTCACTATTGCTATTTACAGGAGACAAAGCTTGCATGGAGGAAGAGGATTCTGACATTGCAGGGCTGCCTGCACTCTGGCTTTCGAGATCGCCAACGGCCGATGAGGAGTCATTGCTCAAGTGGTCACTTTCCCCTGATCCATTCTCCATGGATTTTAAACTGGTCAGCTGCTGACAGTTCATGACAGAATCAATCATTTTCATTTGATTCTCCAAAGCAGCAATACTAGAAATCACGGAAGGTGGTGAAGAAGGACACGACCCAGAGTAAGAAATAAGAGGTTTGGACGAGTCGCTTGCTGTGTCCTTTAACTCTGGGTCCTCTTCCATGGAATTCTCATCAATATCATCATCAAAGTTGCTCAGCGTGTCAATGTTCTTCTCATCGTAGGAAAGTTCTGAGTCCATGGCATCTTGGAAGCCCTCTGGTAGTGGCGTGTTTGGAATTTGCCCCCCCATATGCATACGAATATGCTGCTGAAGAACAACCGCATTTGTAAATTTCTTCTGACAAATGGGACACGAGTGCTGTACCCTAAGTGGTGGCTTCGCTCGATGAACTCCAAAATGTGTTTTCAGATTGCCTTTTGTAGTAAAGGCACGTCCACAAATTTTGCATTTAAATGGTCTTTCTCCTGTATGCGTTCTGTAATGCATCTTGAGAGCACTCTGACAACTAAGCACACGGTGACAAATGACACATTGATTTGGA